TTGTTTGATTGAATAATAAAAACAAAAATTTACCTCCATACTGATGCAGCATGCTGCTGATGCTAATGGTGATCAAATAAATGTACTATTTGTATAAATAACAAACAAACTATGCAAACAAACAAACAGACAGACACCTAGGGACAATTTAGAGTTAGCAATTAACCTAACGTGCATGTTTTTTAGTCTGTGAGATGAAACTGAAGTTCCAGGAGAAAACCCACGCTTGCACAGGGAGAAATTATAAACTACCTAGAAAGGCCCCATGCTAGGGGATAATCCTATGACCTCCTTGCTGTGAGGTGACGGCTCCAACCATTGTTCTTCTGGGTTTAATATTCTAAGAAACATTGAAAGTTCGAATTGGTCAGTGGTTGGCCAGAATTACTGATTCATTACTGACCAATTCAAAGCTTGTTTTTGCTTGAAATCACATCTCTACTAATGGACAGTTATATCTTTTCACAGTCCAATGAAGTCAATCAAGGTGATGCTCTGGAGCACAACTTCAATGCAATCTATTGTGCTCTGATGTTCCCAATCACACACCTCCTTTGCGACAATGTTTTCCCACAGGTTTGTTTCTCCTCGTTCTTATTTAGATTTCAGTACCATCAGGTGAAGATGAAGGCATCCTTTTAGATTCAACTTGATGTTCTTTTGCTGCTCTTTGTCCAGGCATCCCAGAAGTCCATGTTGTCTTCTTGGTCCAAGTTGTACAAGGTTTTTGCTTGCTGCTCAGCTCTTGTGGTTACCGCTGGGGAGAACATCTGCTGTGAGGAGCTTTGTGCAAAGATTAAAACAGCTGTAGATCGAGAGGTGCTGACTGTGAGTTCGGGAAAGTTGTAACTCCATCACAACTGAATATTTCTTTTTATTATGGAGATGTTATCAGGACTGATATTTTAGGAATGCTTTAAAGCTGTTATAAAAAAAAAGTTTTATGCATTTATGATGTTTGATCCTACAGATTCCTTCAACATTAAACTTTGTTGCCAGCATCCTTCATGTCATGGTGGAGTGTGTAGACTTCTCTCCATACACACCTAACTTTCAACAACAAATAAAGTGTAAGCGCTTTAACTTTTGTTGCTTTCCTTTAACACACTTTGAAAAAGTTTATCTTTATGAATTTTGTATTCTTCCAGCTCCCCACACGCCTATGAACTGGACACAAAAGCAGAACAAAGCCTTGGGAAATATGTCTACGTTTCATTCCCTGCTGGTGCAGTGTCTGCAGGTTTATCTTGAAGCACCAGAGGCTTTTTCCGAGTCAACAGGATTGGCACTCATTTCTGTTCTGTCAACTCTTTTCAACAACCTTGTTCTTTTCAATGTTGTCAAAGAGGCTTTGAACTTACTGATTCAGCCTCTTGTGTTGCTATACAAACAAGCTGAGATGCCACGATTTACCTCTCATCTTCTGGAGAAGGTTGGCTCAGAATTTGAATAGGTGCAGAGATTTTACAGGTTTGGCTCTAAAATATATGAAGTAAAACTCTTTTCCCCCTGCAGTTGGAGAAGCTTCTCAACGAAATCCTGAGCTGTCTTCAGACTTGCTCTGCTCTTGCCTATAATGATGAGCTCTTGGCTCTGCTTTCACCTCTGCTCTGTGTGTTGTTTCTGCACAAGAACAAGCATCTACGTTCGTCAGTCACACAGTTCTGGAATGCCACTTTCACAAACGCAGTCAATCTGCTGTACCCCGAGGAGATCAGGTAAACAAGTAGAGGCCAGCATATTGTATTCCTCTCCAAAATTAAATGACTTGGTGTTCTATTTTTTACATAAGATAATTGGAACACTGAAATCAATGTTGCCATTTGCTTCACACAGACCTGTACTGAGCCAAGTGAAACAAAGGATTCCAGTCATTCTTCCTGGTTTTGAGGTTGTCAATATTCCTGAAGAGCCTAGTGGAACATATTCAGTAAGTATTTTTTAAGTCCTTTCTGCTGACTTTGGCTTTTTTTTTTTTTTTGATGATCTTTCAGTTTGATTAGCGCCCTCTTGTTTTCAGAATGAAAGCTCTCAGATGGAGACACATCTCAGTGGCATGCCAGTTTCTTCTTCTGGAAAAAAGGATTCGCTGCTGGACAATCTCACTGAGATTAATGCCAAGGGCTTCTTCAACATGTCCAAGCCCATTTCTGTGAGTATAATTTGAGCCCATGTTTCATAAAGCAGAGTTCATTGTGCCAAAAAGCAAAAAATAAAGTTTGAATGACTTCTCACCAGGAATTTTATGTGTGGTTCCCGAGTGGTACATTATCTAAATATTGCAGTAGGTCTCGTACACATGAGTTATAGTTATGGTTGTGGTTATGGTGAGTGAGTATGTATAAAGAGCCCATATGAGTGGAGACCTTGTAAGTGGGCCCATTGCTTTCCCCAAAAAGACACTGAGTTTTAATCAAACTTTTGTGTTGTTTAAGCTTCTTGGAATCCATAAAGGTTCCCCAAGAATTCCTTTCCTATGACTGCTTAGAGACTGGCAGTGGCCTAAAAAGTAGTGAAAAGAGAAAGAGATCTTTTAATTCAATGCCACAAGCAGAACCTGTGATGCTCAGGCAGGCCATTCGGGGAGGGGGAGAATCAGACTGGCCAAATATTTAACAACATTGCTCTGGACCTATCAGCTTTCACTTTCAACACACTAGTGACTAGATAGGCCTACTAGCCAATCAGAAATCAGGTGGGGGCTGGACTTGGATATCGGCAAAACTTTGACTCAGATCCAGCAGAAGTTGGAGAGTTGCTCCAAATGAAATAAATTTCTTTGTTAGAACAGGTTTGGAAAAAAAAAACTGGAACCCATATCGAAGCTGGCAGATTTTCAAAATACAATCTGTCAGAAGAAAAAACAGCGGAAGGATGTGTACTAATTCTTCCACCTGAGAGAGAAGAGCCACACATATGGATGCTAATAGTTAGCTGAACAGCAGACAGGTGGAGTGGAAGGAGAAAGCAGAAAGAAGTCTGATGGCTTTTATCACAGTCACTCTGGAAACAACATCCGACCAACAGACGGGAAGCTGGCGACACAGATGGTTAAGATAAGATAAGCTAAGATTAGTTAAGATAAAACTTAATTGATCCCACAGTGGGGAAATTTGAACATTACAGGAGCTCAAAACAGTGGAGCTGCAGTAACAGGCTGCCTGCCGTGGCGCCATTCTTAGAAACAGAAAACCACACAAGGGAAGGGAAGATGAGGACAAAAACAAAAACATCATGTTATATCAACACTGTGACACACTATGGTGTTTATGAAAAAACTCTGCATAGGGCAGATTTATTAGCCAGAGGAGTAATTGAGATTAGGGGGCCCGAAGAATCCAGTCCCCAAGCCGGCGCAGCCAAAGTTCAGAATATTGATGGTAAACTGTTCATTCTGTGGGCCCACAGCTTGCTCAGGAAATCAGATCAGCCGGGTGAGGTAGGAGGTGTGGGGAGGGTGGGAGCAGAGCCTTGTCGACAAGATCCAGCCAGGAAGAATTTAGTCAACAGATCAAGGCCGTTGTCGGGGAGATCCAGATTCTGTAATCAGTTGTTTTGGGAACACAATTTCTATCTGCCTTTAATGTCTGCTGGTGCATCTCAAGGGTGGCAAATTCAATCAGGCAAAATGGTGTGGACAAATTCCGTCGAGCCGATCCATCAGCTTTCTCCAAGATGAATTCCATCTGGCCAGCAAAGTCCAGGGACCACAGCCGGCCCGCGACCCTCAATAGAACCGCTTGCAGACAGAGTCCAGCTCGCTCAAGGCAAAATGTCCGAGTGCTGATAGAATACGGCCGTTCGTCCAGTTAGTCAGTCAGCCAGAAAGTGAAAAGCCACTGACGCTGTTTTGAAGACCAGGAGACCACCAGCCAATCTGTAGAATCCAGTGATCGGAGTCCAGATATATAACCAGAACAGAGAAGAACAGAGGTCCCACCTTCGACATGCCCTCCCATGGAAGAAGAAAAATAAACTTGGGTCCAAAAATTTTATTGAGAGACTAGCTAACCAAATCCATAAAAATAAAAATATCCATACTTGCAAGTTTCGGATGAAAAATATAGAGAATGCTCCTTGCAGCAAAGCAGGGAAAGATAAGGAAGGGCAGGAGAGAAGGAAAAAAGCATCTTACTCCACCGAGAGCGGGAAAAAAAATTGAGGAATTATAGCCATACTGCATCGTGATTCCTCTCAGATATTTAATTTTACTATAAAATCAAACTTAGATTTTAGATCAACTTTATTATAAGTTTTTTTAACAGTATTATGTTGGATGGCTGTAGCAGAGTTGTTAGGGGAGCTCTCCTGTAACTGAAGGGTTGCCGGTTCGATCCCCCATTCCAGCTGTCTATCGTGTCCTTGGGCAAGACACACCCGCCTGCCTACTGGTGGTGGTCAAATGATCTGATGGAGCAGTACGGCAGCCCCACCTTTTGTCAGTCTGCCCCAGGGCAGCTGTGGCTACAATGTATCCTATCATCAGTATGTGAATGTGTGTATGAAGGATGCATGAAATTGTAAAGTGTCTTTGAGAGTTTTGAAATGCACTATATAAGACAAATGCATTATGATTATTATTATTATCCATCCGTTCGTTTTCTTCTGCTTATCCGGTGTCGGGTCGCGGGGGCAGCAGCCTAAGCAGAGAGACCCAGACTTCCCTCTCCCCAGCCTCTTGGGCCAGCTTGTCCGGGGGAATCCCAAGGCGTTCCCAGGCCAGCCGAGAAACAATGGGCCTCATGCAAGAACCGTTCGTACGCACAGATTTGTTCTTAAATTGTGCATACGAGTGATTTAGGAGAATTTGTGGCATTCACCAATGTTTTCGTATTCTAAGAATTTTTTCAGATACGAACAAAATTCACGAGTGGTCCAGACC